GTGCTTATCAAATAAAAATCCAAATAAGTAAACCAGAAAGTAGCATATATTATGCTAAAGAGAGAACATAATAGCTGGAAACCTAAATTTTCCTCAAAATGACAGGAACAGTATAGTGAGTACTTGGTGTACCACCACGATCCCTTTAGGAAACAAGGGACACACTCTTTCACGTGTCAGCTGATAAAGACCTTCTCAAGAACTGTCCCCAGGAAAGAGAGGTACTTTGCTCTTGCTAATATCTCTTCCCAAAGCTATACCAGACCTGGGCTTGGATTCAGGTCAATATGAAAGACAACCCCAACTTAGAGTTCCCTGAAGTGTCAGCTGAAGCCTTCAATGCAACCACATCCCAGTTCAACTCCCTCTCCCTTCCCTGCTTCCCTCTAGACCCCTGTACGCAGTTCTCCATCTCCAAGTCATTTTACCAATATCTCAACTTAAGATAACTAGAAGAAAACCAGTAGACCTAAAGACATCTAGAATTTTCTCCATCCATTTGATTGAATTTCCAGGAGACAAGAACAGAAAATGGAAGGAAAAATAAAACAGTATTCCCAAAAAGAGAATGATTGAATTCAGCTAGACCTCCAAGTATCAAACAAGATGAAAAGAAAAATATCTACAATATACATATTGTATTATTCAGGGTTCTCCAGGAAAAGAGGACCAATAGTGTGTGTATATACAAAGAAACATTTATTTTTAGGAATTACTAAACTTGCCTATAAAATCTGACAAGTTCTAAGAGCTTCAGGGTGGGACATGGAAGGCTGGAGATACAGGAGAGCCAGTATTGTAGTTCAAGGTCAAAGGCCAACAGCCACAGAATTACTTTTTCCCTTTTTTCTTGTATTCAGTTTCACCTAATTGGATGAAGCCCACCCACATTTCAGAGAGCAATCTGCTTTAAAGCCCATTAATAATTTTTTGGCTGATATTTCTTTAGATCTCTCTTTGTTATTTGTTCTAATTAGTTATATATGACAGTAGAATGCATTTTGACACATTATACATAAATAGAGTATAACTGCTCACTCTTCTGGTTGTACATGATGTAGAGTTATACAGGTTAGGTAATCACATATGCACACAGGGTAATAATGTCCAATTCATTCTACTACCATTCCTACCCCCGTTTCCCCTCCTCTCTCTTCATTCCCCTTTGTCTAATCCAAAGTACTTCTATTCTCCCCCACCCCTTATTGTGAATTAACAACCACATATCATAGAAAACATTTGGCCTTTAGTTCTTTGAAAGCCCATTAATTTAAATGTTAATCTCCTCCAAATTAACACCCTTACAGAAATAACATCTGATCATAATGCTGGATAATGTGATCCAGTCAAGTTAATATGTACAACTAACCAACACACATATATATACATATTCATATGCATATGCATCTTCTACTTTGAGACTTTAAGACCAGAAACAAATACACATATGAAAGAAGTAAAATGCTAGAAATCTAAAACCCTAATTCATAATATTAATCCAATCAATAGAGTCTTGCTTTGAAACCAAAAAATAAGCTTTCTTTACAAGAATAGAGAATGGGAAAGACCCCCAAATCCTCCATCAAAAGTAGATGTAATAAATATTCCTACAAAAAAACAAGTTAAACACCTACCTACAAAAAATACGGAAAGCCAAGAAACAAAAACAAACTGAAGGAAAAGAACTATTACCATACATAAGAAACTCCATGCCAGAGACATTTTCTTTGTTATCTGACACCCATTCCCACACTAGGATTTTGTTCAGGGGTATGTAGGTAGAGGGAGGCCCCTGCCCGAGCCCTGAAGGAAGAAGAATCATTTCATCTGTCTGACTACAAGATTGTTCAGGCATGAGTACATGGCCCACTTGGGACCAATAAGAAAGTGAATGACAGAAGCTGTGTGCAAAGAACTGAAAGATTCTTTCACTGAATTTAGTAGTATGAAGATGTGAAGATGAGGCTATCTTGTGTGCATACACACAAAGGAAAAATAAGCAGAAGTGAAAGCCAACTCACCAAGGAAGAAAATCAAATGATGAACAAATGAACATCTGCCTAACCTTAATTTGCAATAAGACCAATTCAATCCAAAATAAACAAGACTGAGTACTAAATCAAATAATAAATACAATAAAATAAATGCAATTAGTTTAGAAAGAACTTCAGCAATGCCTAGAAAAATTGAAAATGTATATATACTAAGCAGATCCACTTTGAGTTATTTGTTTTGTTTTGTTTGTTTCTTTTGGTACCAGGGACTGTGCCACATCCCCAGCCCTATTTGTATTTTGTTTAGAGACAGGATCTAAACAAGTTGCTTAGTGCCTCTCTTTTACTGAGGCTGACTTTTGAACTTGTGATCCTCCTGCCTTAGCCTCCTAGGTCACTGAGATTACAGGCATACATCACCACACCAGGCCCTCTTTGGGTTTTATACCAGGAAATTCATGTATAATATCAGAAGAAACCATGCATACAAAAATTAATTACAGTGTTATTCATAATAATGAAAAACTGGAAAGTTTACCAATAGATATTTATCCATTCCAGACAGAAATTTTTCATACAGTGAAATGCTTGATGGCAGTTAAAAGGAATAAATTCACTTTATGTATATCGAAAATAGATCTCATATAACGTTGAGTGAAAATGAATTTTGAAGAATAATATGGCAACCTCTTGCCAGTTATACCATTTTAAACACATAAACCATTTGTTATTTATAAATATATTAATGTGGAAGCATTAAAACATGGGCTAGATATATATACACTAAATCTGAGAGAAGTTACTTTGAAATGAGGGTCACAAAATGAAGTTCAGGTTGAGTCCAGAAAGAACTCCCATTTCATTCATAATATTTCAATTTTGTGTTTTGAAAATATATTAAGGAAATGTGAGAAAATGCTAATGTTTGTCAATTCTAAGTGGTACATATGCAGCATTTTAAAAATATAATCCAGATACTTTTCTGAATTTTTATTTCTCAAATTTAAAAAAAATAGCTTTGAAAATGTTTTACAGGGAAACAAAATTCAGAAGTTAATTCCAAAAAATAGAAATACTTGAATAATTTAATAACTACAGAAGATGCCCCAAAACGTCAGAGATCCATCTGTAAGCATAAAATGACAGATGCAGACCTCAACAGATTCAGGGAAACCATTTATCATTCTTCATGTACTTCGGCGCTGTAAGGACTTATTTTCTGAATGTGATAATGGCCACTGGTTACAGAGGGGATTTGGGGTTTACAGGCTACAATTAGGGTGATTTCATCATTAGAACTTGTCTTGTACTGTTGGGACAGTAAGGGCTAGTTATGTAGGTTGAAACTTTTAACTCAGGAGGGCAGCTATAAAAAGACTGAGATTCATTGTTACTTGGAGAGGCAGTGACAGTTCTGCTCCCTCATATGTTGAAGTATAACACTAGAGAAGTACACCAAGGCAAGCATACAAAGCAGGGTTTATTTAAAAAGGGGTACCATAGAGGGAGGGAACAGGGGGCCATAGCTGGTACCCTGTGTGAAGATAGCCTTAGCCTAAGCAACTCCATTTTAAAACTCCATTTAAAACTTCAGTCTCACCAGGTAAGCCCCACAGAGCACTCCAATATGTCATCAGGCATATTGAGTCAGAGTGAAATCACTTGATATAAACATGTCATTTGATTAACCCTGATAAGAGCCAGAAGGGTAATATCAGGCCGGAAACCACCAGACCAAGTGTCTTCTCTAAAATGTAAACTGTCACTAAGAAACCTGGTAACAGATGATAGGGACCAAGAGGGTATGCAGAAGCCCAAAATTTAGTATAAATAATGGAACACATGAACATACATTCAAGCCAGCCAACACTGATGCCCACATGCCAGAGAGCCTGAAGAGGACCTGGACTAACATCCCAATTCTTCTCATCATCTGCCTGATACCCTGCATCATTCTCACCGCTCTCAAACTCTACAGCAATCTCTTGACCCTGGTGAGAAAGGCAATATGACTGCCTCCTCAGCCAGTCCTCAACTCCACAAGAGGAGAATCCTCCATCGGTTCCTGACCTGATTGCTGCAGTCTGAGTGAGGGTGCATCTGCTGGACTTAAGACCTAACACTTTAAATCTGGCACTTGAGCTTAGCATGCAGAGAGAATGTCTGTCATAGGTCTATCATGATTAAGTGTGTCTGCAGTTCTTAGAGTTAACTTAGAATCTGTTGGTTTTGAATTAGTTGTATTTATTGCTTTTATCAGTCTGAATTATTGTTTGTAGTGTCCAGCATTAAGGACTGTCATTTCTTAAGAACCTATAGAGTAAAATTGTATTGAGTGATTTCGAGTGAATAAAGAATTGAAAAGGGCATTAGCTCATGGACATTTTTTATTTCTCTCCTCAACTGCAAATGTTGCACCTTTGCTCATCGGGACACCCTGGTATCCCAAGAAGCGAAGGTGTTCTGCCTTTTTTATAGGTCTTAGGCTTTGTTTGTTCTCCTGCTCCCTTCCCCTTATCTCTCTTTCTGCTGTGGGATGGTGGGACAGCCAAAAGGAACCAAAACACATTAATTAACAACTTTTACAACTCCCTGTAAGGAGGGACAATTCTAGGGACAGGTTACCTTAGCAGGTTACCTTGATAGGTTGGAGGAAAGGCTCTGAAGGCATTTCAATCCCTCAGGTAGCAATTTTCAACTTCCTGGACTCACTCAAATTGGCCTCCTTGCTCCACCTGATTTGATTTGCCTATCAATATGACTGCCTGTCTAATTCTAGCTTCATTAGGAGTCCAGATTGTGAGGGATGGGTATTTCTTTTTCTGGAATTTATTGTCTCCTAGAGTTTCAATATAGCCTCCTTCATCCAAGGCCCACTGTTTAGTACTTACAGTGTGTACTTTTAGGGCTAATTTGCAATGGCAGGAAGGTCAAAATCCAGAGCCTAACATTTAGTATTGCCTCCTGCCTTCAGGACCCATTGATATCCGGAAAGGATTTACTTACTGGAAAGCTAATGCTTGCCTAGTTTCCCCTCCCTCCTCTGGAGCTGCACAGTCTCTCCGCTTTTCCTTGGGGGCTATTTTGTAGGAAAATTATTTTCCATAACCCTTCACCATCCAGTGAAAAAGGCACCAAACCAAAGTAGATTTATGGGTGAGTTGTACCAAATGTTCCAGAAACAGAGTCCTATCTCCTTCTAGGAGCACAGCATAATCCTGAAATACAAAGAACTAGTTTATTATCATTCCAGCAATGTATTAAATGAAAACAGCATCATCTTAAGATTTATAAAAAGAGTGCACATACTATTCAACATCATAAAAGCAATTTCTGTAATACCCAAAGGACCTAAAAACAGCATACTACAGGGACACAACCTCATCAATGTTTATAGAAGCACAATTCACAATAGCTAGACTGTGGCGCCAACCTAGATGCCCTTCAATGGATGAATGGATTAAAATAAATGTGGCATTTATACACAATGGTTTAATTTGACTTAAAAAAATCAAAATGACTAAAAAAAAAACTTAATCGTACAGTTCAAACTTTAAAGTTCAACTCGTGTAAAGAAAAAGAGACAATAATAAAACTTAGTTATCATTATTTTTCCAAATACTTGCAAACTAAAAATAGAAGAAATTCTCCAAATGTCATAGGAATATAACATTCACCTTAATCAAAAAACGACTGAGGATGCCCAGTATCAGGTGAGCCCATAAAATGAAATAAATGTTCAAAAGCAAAAGCAAATGGCAATAGCTAGAGAGTAAGTAACTGTCTACTGAGAAATTCCAACAGCATCCACACAGACTGCTACAACTAATCAAAACACCGGCGCCTGAGCCTCAGTCCCACTCTGGGCCGGCGCCCAGGCGCGTGCGCGTGCGCATGCGCGACCCTGACGCATGCGCAGAGGACGAAGGAGTGAAAGATGGCGGCGCAGGAATTTCCCACGCCGCTGCACGGTCACGCGGGTCGGGGCGCTTTCGGCGACGTGTACGAGCCCGCGGAAGACACGTTCCTGCTGCTGGACGCGCTCCAGGCGGCAGCAGCCGATTTGGCTGGGTGCGAGGAGGGAGAGGGCCCTAGCGGGAGAGGGCTTGGGTGTCCCGGAGGGGCCGCAGCGGCCAGCGAAAGGACTGTCGCCGGCCTCAACTGGTGGTGGCTTAGCCCGCCCTTCTGTGGATGATTGACAGCAGAGCGAGTGCCTTATATGAGGGTTTTCCTGTAGATGCGCGCAGCTAATGTGCAAGCAATTTATCTCTAAGCCAGGTATTGATCTTGGCTCCTGAGCTCCTTGTCGCTGTACCACGTTGTGATGTAATTATTCCTTCCAGCTGTTAATCTAAGAGCCTCGATAGATAGCACACTCAGAAACAACAAAATATTCCTGAAACGCTGATGTTGATGTTTTTTGGCGGGTGGCGGGCGGGCGCGGGGCGGGGGTTACCTAGGTCATAAAAGACACTTTTGGTGCAACAGAAGGGCACCAAAAGGAAGAAAGGTGGTGAAATACTGGAGCACGAAAGAATTTGTAAACCCTCTCTACATATTCTGTAATGACAGCTGTTAGCCACATGTAATTGTTGAACACTGGAAATGTGACTAATGCAAATGACACACTGAATTTCTCGTTTCATTGTAGAAAGTTGTTGCATGGATTTAACAGTCTACAGAATCTACTCTTGATTTGTTCAAGTGTTTGCCATCAATTTTAAATTAATAAGAAAAAGAACTAATACCTGTAATTTTTCAATGAAAGGATTTGGGGTCACTAGATTTATTTAATGATCAAGACTTGAAGTGGTTTTCCTCAGGATGAAACAAACAGCTGTCAGGCTTCAAAGGTTTATATCGTGTTTATCCCTCTTAAACAGGGTCATATTTTTTGCACATTTAGAATGTGCCAACTCCTGAAACTGATTTTTCATCATAGGTGAAACTTTTGGATATACTGGACAATAGAGTGGTACAGTACTGTTTTATAGCTTGTCTTTTATTCTCAATAACTTAGAAAGTTTACAAGCATAAATTGCATTGCAAAATCTGCTATAAAAGGATCTGATTTTATTATAATCTTGGATATTTCTACTCTTGGAATTCTAATTATGAGACCATGATAGTTGTTTTCAAAGAAAAGCCTGAAAAGATTCACAGACCTTAGTATAGCCCATTATACTAGCCCATTAAAGGCATGTGTGGACTGGTTCCAAAGTCAGAGAATCATACTTTCTTGTTGGATAGTTGTTTGGGGAGTTAAGTGCTAGAAATTCCCTTAAATGCTATCAAGCCAATCTTTGTAACTGGGAATAATTGGTGCTTTGGATGCATGTATAAGATTGTGAACAAGGAAATAAATTTAAAGAGGAAATGCAATAACATGAAGATGTTATTATATTTAGCAATGTTCTAAGACCAAATATTCAGATATGTTACCATTTGAGCATTTAACTATACAAATGCAGAATTCCTTTGCTGCTCTACGTCTCTACAAGTAGAATGGAGGACCTTTTTTCCCCTAGGATGTGCTGTTGAATTTATGAAGGTTAAGTACTTAAAAATTGTAGAGTAACGTCTTTCATGAATAAAGTTTGTAGTAATACCAACACTATTACTTTAGGAAATACTATCCCAGAAAGGGATGGCATCTTTCATATTAGTATTTCCAACCCTAAGTTAATATTCCATGAATTTTTGTAATGCTTTGTTGAAATTAAGAGCCATATGTTGTAATATGTATCTTTTATGGATTTACCATATGTTACACCTGCAAAACATTAGTTTTGAGTTGCACAGTGTCAAAGCACAAAATGATTGTCAGAAATTATAATTTATATTTCCATATATTTGCAGGGGAGCAATGATGTTGGAGAAATATAACTAGAATGAGAATTTTCTGTGAAGTGTATTTTAATACTACTGTACTAATATTTACTTTGTTGTATATTTTTTAGAGTGGAAATTTGCCTTGAAGTTGGGTCAGGGTCTGGTGTGGTATCTGCATTTCTAGCCTCTATGATAGGACCTCAGGCTTTGTACATGTACGTATATAATAATTTCACCCAGATATTGCAGTGAGATTCACTGAGTGTGACTGCTTGAATGAAAAACTTTTGTCTGTATCTGATTGTGTTTAAGAATAATAAGGACAAAGATTGCAAATTGTGCTTCCCTAGGAATTCCAGCTTTATACTCAAACAGTTCCTTACATCCCCAGTCCTTTTTATTTTTTATTTTGAGACAGGATCTTGCTAATTTGCTGCATCTGGCCTCCAACTTATGATCCTTCTGCCTCCACCCCGCAAGTTGCTGAGATTAGACTTAAATGTTTTTCATAGAAAATTTGAGAATATAGAAAAATATGAAGAAAATAAGTCACCAAAAATTTTTACCCCATATCATCCAAGTGTGTTCCTTCATTTTTTTTATTTTCATTTTTTACTTAATATTGTATCATGAGCACTTCTATATCAGAATTTTCTTAAGTCATACTTTTGGTAGCTGCATAGTATTATAGTTAAATAAGTTTCTTCAGATGTGTATGCATGTATGTTTATTATTCTGTTCTTATAAATTATATCAGTATAATCATCTTTTCATCAATCTAACCAATGTTTGTTCTTCTTTGCCATTATTAAAATATTCTAATTTTTTTCTACACCTGCTATATGTAGAATTCATTCCTTGAATTACTCCGTATCAGATTTGCCTCATGGACATAGGAAATAGTATTCTTTTTTTATTATTATTATTATTAGGTGCACTGATATCAACCCTGATGCAGCAGTTTGCACCCTGGAAACAGGACGCCGTAATAATGTCCACATTCAACCAGTAATTACAGATTTGGTAAGCTGTTAATCCTTGTTCAATATCAATTTCCTTTTCAAATGAATTGAAGTCAAGCTTAGTGTGGTGGTGCACACCTGTAATCCCAGTTCAAAGCCAGCCTCAGCAATTTAGCAAGGCCTAAGCATCTTAGTGAGACCCTACCTCAAAATTAAAAATAAAAAGGGATAAGGGTATAATTCTGGGTAAAGTATCTCTGAGTTCAATCCCCCCCACCCACCACCTAGTACCAAAAAATTAAAATTAAAAAAATCAAATAAATTAAAGTCACAATGTTTTATTCAAAGAAACTTTAGTAGTGAATTAACTCATGACCCACTAACTCTAAGCAGTATAATTTATATAAATTCTTGGCTGATAGAATCCATCTTCTCCATATTTCAAAAGAAATTGATATTGGCTTGCATAAGTCAGGCATCATCTGTATCAGTGAACTAAATTCACATTAGTTTGAATTTTAAAAGTGGATAGCATCATGCACACTTGACTTCAGGAACTCAAATGATGTTACACGCATATTTTTCCTGGCTCTGAACTTTTCTCTGGTGACTCTGTTCTTAGGTAGTTTTTCCCTTCATAGTAATAAGACATTTGCATGTCTGCATTATATTTCTCAGCAACTCCCCAATAGAGAAACCCTTTATAGTCTGTTGTTTTAACAAAAGACCCAGAATGAGTGTTGGGTTATGTGCTTATATCTCTATCTTTCTCTGAATCCCAGGGGAATTGGAAGAGTAGATTAATGGTTTAGAACTGGCTCATAGTCTCACTTCAAGAACTGGCTTGGATTAGACCCTACCTGAGCCACTTGGATTTAAAATGACAGAAGGTAGAGTTTCTCCAACAACAGCCAAGGAGATGTAATTTAAAAAAAAGGTAGAATGGGTCCTAGGCAGGCAAAAGCAACAAATGACAGCTGTAGAGCCATTGTTTTCTTTTAAGAAGTTAACATCAGGGGCTGGGGCTTAGCCCAGTGGTAGAACGCTTGGCTTGCAGGTGTGAGGCACTGTGTTTGATCCTTAGCACCACATAAAAATGAATAAATGAATGAAGATATTATGTCCAAAAAAGAAGATGTTAACATCATGCACTCTTAAGTTGCAGTTGATATTAAGACTTGGATAAATTTTAACTCATAAGTTTTTTTAGTTATAGACATGAAATGCCTTTTAATCAGCAAAAATCAATAGCACATCCCAGCTAGACATAAAAAATGCAAAATGCTTTCTGTGCTTCTTGACCTGTGTTATTAGTCTTACGCTAATGATAATAGGTAGCTTTCTTGTTCTTCAAATTTACAATTTGGTTTTGCAGTCCAGAAGGAATTAAGCCAAAGACACAAATTTTTTTCAGATTGCTAGTGTTATTATTGCTAATAAAAACTACAGTATCAGAAAAGGTATATTAGGTGATTTACATTAGATTTACATTAGATCAATGTGATGATTTAACTTTTTTAAATGTTTCCTTAGTGTATCCATAATTGATACAAAATATATGTTTTGATGGTTTTTTTTTTTTGGTGTTTTTTGTTTGTGGTACAGGGTTTGAACCCAAGGCCACTCAACCACTGAGTGATATTCCTAGCTCTTTTTGTTTTTTAATTTTTTAAGTCAGAATTTTACTAAGTTGTCTTTGACTGGCCTAGAACTTGTTATCCTCCTGCCTTGGCCTCCTCAGTAGCTGGGGTATAATACCATACCTAGCTTAAATATGATTTTGAAAGATCAGTGAAACTTCAGAGACAGAAGAAATTCAGAATATCTGTATTGTTAAATAGACATGGGAATATTTTAAACAGGTTATATTTTTGGAAGCTACATGGTATTAACCATAAATTCAAAATTAAATTATTTGGATAATCCAGATTATCCAAATCCAAATCTAGAAGTCCCTTAGCTCTTTTAAGACTTAAACTTACTGGGTGTCCATGCCAGAATCAGTATTCCAGTTACATTGACTCTAATACTAAATTTTTTTTAGTTGCTCTTTTTAGTTATACATGACAGTACAAAACTTTTTTTCAATTTGAAAATATTTTTATTTTATTAGTACAGAGCATTTTAACATATCATACATACATGGAATGTAACATCCCATTTTTGTGGCTGAATATGATGTGGAGTTACACTGGTCATGTATTCATATATGAACATAGAAAAGTTATATGTCAGATTCATTCTACTCTCTTTCCCATTCCCATCCCTGTTCCTGTCCCCTTTCTACCCCACCTACCCGCTTCGATCCGGTGAACCTCAACTCCTTCCTCCCCCTGCCTATTATGAGTCTTCATCTGTATATCAGAACATTTGACCTTTGGCTTTTTGGGGGACTGGCTTATTTCACTTAACATGATAGCACCAGTTCCATCCATTTACCTGCAAATGCCATAATTTCATTCTTTATGGCTTTATGGCACCTAGGATGGTTCCATAGCTTAACTATTGTGAATTGAGCTGCTATAAGCATAGATGTGTCCAAATCACTATAGTATGCTGATCTTAAGTCCTTTGGGTATATGCCAAGGAGTAGGATAACTGAGTCAAATGGTGGTTCCATTCCAAGTTTTCTAAGGAATCTCCATTCTGCTTTCCGTAGTGGTTGCACCAATTTGTAGTCCCACCAGCAAAGTATGAGTGTACTTTTTCCCCACATCCTCACCAACATTTATTGTTACTTGTATACTTGGCAATTGCCATTTTGACTAGAATGAAATCTCAGTGTAGTTTTAATTTGCATTTCTCTAATTGCTAGAGATGTTGAACATTTTTTCATGTATTTGTTGACCAGTCGTGATACTGAATATTCACTCTATACAAAGCAATAAACAAGAGACTGGCCTAAACATAGATGTTGTGATCAATTTATAAACCCTTTACAGAATTTATAAAGCGTTTTTCAGAACATGGGGCTTAGATTTCCAGGTAAACTCATGGTTTTGGATTGCTGATTTACCTGTTTAAAAAGTACCACTTTCACTATATTTCATTTTTAGTTTTATAAAAGTCTTTAAAAGTGTGTATTACACTTTTCTTTATGTGCTTAAAACATACCAAATATATTTCACCTTTGACTCAGTATTATTGTCTGTGCTATGTATGGTGATGATTAAAGTCTATTCAGGTATATCCACCTTTACACTAAGTAGCTATAGTCTGCCATATTAATTGCTTTATTTTGTCATATTTCATTGCTACTTATTGACAAAACTTTTGTTTCTCCATTTTAATGTGTTTTATGCTAGAAAATCAAACAACCAATTTAGTTGAATTGTTACTTAGACCAAGAGTTAAGGAATTCTGAATGAGTGCCTCTCATATGAATAAATTCTCTGAGTTTTGCTAGGAGGCCTATTTTGCTTATTTCCCAATTACCAGGCTGTGTTATTTAGCAAATTAAAAAGCTGAATATGAATGGGTAAGAGATAACTACAGTTTAGACTTTTTATCAAGTCCATAATGACTTATTTAAATTCATTTTAACTATAAGATTTCCTATTTTTAATATCAATTTTTCTCTTTATTTAAAATTCAGTTATTGCAGTGATTATAATGGCAGTACCTCAGGGGCTGTCATAAACAGTTGCAAAGCACATACTTTTCTAGTTTCATTACCCAGAATTTGTGGAAAATTGTATTGTGGAGTTCTTTACATTATGAGAAACTTAATTTCTTATGGGACTCAGAAAAGCTTTTGGTTACTTAAATGTATTTCCTCACACCAGTGCTATTACTGCGGAAGACAACAAATTGCTCATCTTTTGACTGAAGACAAGACTACATCTGAATTACATCCAAAAACTGGTTATCTTTTCTCTTTTTAAATGAGTAGAGAAAGAAAATTTACCTCTATAAACATTTCTTCAAAAGTACAACTTAATATTCTCATTGAATAGCATAGTTAACAGACTTAATATGATAATTAAAATAGGATTGCCTGCATAAACCTGGATAAAATGAAAATTCAAAGATACTGTTTCATAGTAATATATGTAAGTAGCCCAGCAATATACCCAGTATTTAGGTGATAAGCCTGGGCATTAAGTGACTTTGAATTACAAGGTTTCTTTAATTTTCTTTCAGCCATTCTGATATTAAGGAGAAGGTCTCAGTTTGGTGTTTTTCTTTAACACCTATTTAGCACTGACAAATGCCTTTTAAGGAAAAGAACAAGCCTGGGTTACTCTGAAACTGGCATCAGTAACTATAATTTAATAACATTTTGTTTGTATTGCATTTATTCTTGAGACATTTCTATTTCCAGAGAGTCATATTGATTATCCATTTATAATAGTAAATGGTTAAGTCTCCTTTTACATTTAATTTATTGAACAAAATGGTATTTATTTAAAGAATGGTATTCAACAAATATAGTAGATATTTATGCAGATATGGGGACAATTATGAGAGGTTAATAAATAAAGTTTTGCATATTGTGAAGAAATAGCCTCAGAATCAATGAGTAAAGAGCTCTTCCATATATAGTTTTTACTCTACTATGTGTATGAAGGCACAAGATGACATAATCAGTTATGATTTTTAAGTATTTAATTGTTTAATTGAATAGAGGAATACTCTAAGTGGCACTTGGCTATTTCAGAAAAAAACAAAATTTTAAAGAAAGTACTAAACATACTTTCTATAAAAAGGACACTTTTTTCTTGTTCCATGGAAAATTATATCCACTATAAGGATTTTCAAAACAGCAAAAGTTCATCATCTTACATTTCTGAACCTCAGATGTGTTTTCTGTCATTCCATCAAATATTTCTCTTGGTTATAGGAAATACAGGTTTAAGTCAGTGGACATATTCTAAACTCTTGTCCAAATCTATACAGAATATCTGCTACAGAATTAGAGCTTGCCTTCTTCTTATTTCATTGTCTCAAAAGGAACCCAGAGTATAAACATGTGCTCTGAATAACAGAGGCTTTACTAAACATTTGTTCATTCTGATCATTGTTTTTAGTTAAGTGTATATAATCTTCATCTGAAAATGTAAAACTATTTGTTTCTATCTAAAAGTAAAGCCTTGTAACATTGCTTTTTTCCACAAACCTGGGAGAGTAGCATTTTTCTAATTATTTAAATCAGAGTTCAGCTTAATTAAAACTCTGTTGTTGAATATATTTAGGTTAAAGGCTTATTACCAAGACTGAAGGAAAAAGTTGATCTTCTGGTGTTCAATCCCCCCTACGTTGTGACTCCACCTGAAGAGGTAAGACGTGCAACAAAATTTAGTTATGAATATTTTTGGCTATTCTGTTTCCAAAGTAAAATGAACATTATCTGACATCGGTCAGCTGCTGTAAATACAATGCTTTGATTTTATCCTAATTGTCAGTAATTGGATACTGTTATTAAATAGTAAAGGAGTGAAAACTAATGAAAATACACATTATAATGTATATCCTTAAATTCTCCCCTAAATCATATTTTAAAATAAATACTTAAAACTTTTTTTTTTTTTTTTTTTGGTGCTGGGGATTAAACCCAGGGCCTTGTGTATGCAAGGCAAGCACTCTGCCAACTGACCTATATCCCCAGCTCAGTACTTAAGTTTATATTTTCATGTCTATATCTGTCTATCCTTTATCATGAATAACAAGTTTATGAAATAAAATAATTTTTATTATTTTTAATGAATAATAAATTCACATAGGAATTCCTTCTGAAAGTCTTTGCCTTCCTCCTTTTATAGGTATTACCAAAAAGCTGAAGTGTGGAGCAAATTCTCATTTTTAGTAGGGAAAAGAATTGAAATGTATGATTTTTAATACCTCAATAATGAAGAGGTAAACTGTATTACCCTTTTTCCAGGAAGTTCAAGGCAGACAGTTTTATAATAGACTAAGACTAGTTTTTCTTTATTTTACCTATTTTTTTTTTTAATTCTCTGCAAAGCTGATAAACCAAGGTGAGTCAGCTTTTTCTTCCTGTGACCAAATGCCTAAGAAAATCAACTTAAAGAAGGATTTTCTTAGTATCAGAGGTTTCAGTCCATGGTCACTTAGCTCTGTGGCTTATGGGCCTATGGTGAAGCAGAACATGGCAATCCAGGTATAGCAAGAGCTGTTCACATGACAGCTGGGAAGCAGAGAGAAAGAGAAATAAAAGGTGGGAGAGGTCTGGGGACAGAATATAGTACTAAGGACATGCCCCCAAGAACCCACTCCCTTCAACTAGGTCCTCCTCCTGTAGTTTCTACCATGTCCAAATAATGCCATCAAATTATTAATCTGTCAATGGGTTAATCCATTGATGGGGTCTGAACCCTCATGATCCAATCACTTCCCAAAAGCCCCACCTCTGAACATTGTTGAATTGAAGATCACACCTTCAACTCATGAGCCATTGGAGAACACTTCATATCCAAACTCTAATAATCCTAACCCATATTGTGACACAGTGACAAAGAGATTGGCTCTGCAGAGGCTAGCCACAGACCATCTTACCTCTTGAAACATCAAGAGGCTGTGTTCCTCCAAAATAAGGGAATAAATAGAGGAAGAGAAAGACATGGGTCCCAGAAGAGGAGGTAGTTGAGCCCAGGAGAAATCAAAGGAATACCAGCACAGAGAAGTCCCCAAGAGGAAAGAGTTGACAAAAAACAGAGGAACTGGTAAATTTCCTAAAATGATAAGCTTTTTGGAAAATTATAGTGAAAGGAATGTGTCATAGGTGTGAAAAGAGTCAGATTTAGATTCAAAGAAAATTATGCAAATAGACACAGTGAATAATAACTAAAATAACTAAATAACATATTACACAGCCATTAAAATAGTAAATTAGAACTACACCAGATGAAAAGGTTTCCATAAGATATTATTGAGTAAGAAAAGCAAGATACAGGTGAGAATATAGAATATGATTCTTTTTTTATAAAATATAATTTTAAAAAATCCCTGTTACACATAAAAGATAAGGGAGAAAAAGGCAAGCAAAGCAGCAAGGGAAAGTACAGCTATTTTAAAAGGAGGTATATGAACACATTTTTCTTCTTTGTAAAATTATATATGCATTTGGTTATAGATATAAAATAATAATTTTTAAAGGAGTAGTATGTGCCATATTAAATGAATATAAACAGAAGTATGACTATATGTAAATATTTTAAATTAAAATATGGACAAAGGCTATAGAAGGAAATAGAAAACAGTTGTGTCAAGGTTGAAGTAATTTTTGACTAACTTTTTAAAATATTCTTTGATTTTGAAAACAATATACAGTGGTAAGGATCTAAAGATTTCTAATACTAAAACTTTCATGGAGTTTGTTATAGTTTGGATAAAGAAGTACTCTCCAATCACTCATGTGTTGAAGGCTTGGTTCCCAGTATAGCAGTGTTCAGAGATGGGGCTTTTAGAAGATGATTGGATCATGAGGTCTAACCTTCTGAGTGAATTAATCCATTTTATAGATTAAAATATGAATAGGCTATTGGAAGTGATGGAAACTGCAAGATGTGAGAGGAAGAAGTTTGGGGAGTGGGACGTTCCCTGGAAGGGCATTTCTTGTGCCCAGGCCTTTCCTTTCTGTCTCTCTCTGCTTCCTGGCAGCTAGGCACTGAGCAGCTTTTATCTGCCACATCCTTTGCCATATTCTGCCTCACCTCAGACCCAGAGCCAGGGAGCCAGCTGACCATGGACTGAATCCTTTAAAACCATAAGCCAAAATAAATTTTTCCTATTTTGTTTTTCTCAGGTATTTGTCACAGCAACAAAAAACTGATTAACACAGTTTCTTTCTAGAATATCATTAGATTTTTAGAGGAAAAAATACTTAAGTGTGCCTTTATAAAATAAATGGGTTCCTAAAAAGGTTTGTACATTTCATACATTAGTAGCATAGGAAAGATCTATATGCATTGGGACATTTTGAAATTGTGTCTGTACACAGTATATCTCTTAAAATACAAGCTCTCCCTTCAGGTTTCTCTTAAAATACAAGCTCTCCCTTCAGGTTTCTAAGAATTCTTCTATGTTAAGTATAAGAATTACCATTTCTCTCATTTTATCATATTATTACTAAGTACTTAGTATGTGCAAAGCAATGTCTCTCGAAATTATTTATTCTTATAGTGGATAAAAGTATTTTTTTGGTGCTAGGAATTGAAACCAGGAGCTTGTGCATGCTAGGCAAGCATTGGACCACTGAACTACATCCCCAGCCTTAAAAATATTTTAATCATTTCTTCTATTTGTACTGATGAAACTAGTATTTTTCTAATTTTACAGATAGGGAAGAAAGTAATTCACAAAGAAAATTACCACCTTGCCTAACTTCACACAAAATAGGAAACTGTGAAATCTAGATTCAATTTCACTTCCCGTTTGCCAGCAGTAAAATATAAAATATAGACTTGTTTGGTGATGTTACCTGTCAAACAGATTCACTTTGTTATCTAATTAAAGTCTTGAGTCGATAAAAAAATTCTACTTTGCCACAGGTGGGAAGCCACGGAATAGCAGCAGCTTGGGCTGGTGGCAGAAATGGCCGAGAAGTTATGGACAGATTCTTTCCCCTAGCATCAGACCTCCTTTCCCCAAGAGGATTATTCTATTTAGTTACCATAAAAGAAAATAATCCAGGTAATACATATCAGCTTACTAACTATTTGCTTTGCTGGAAACGAAAATTTATAACATAGAAGACTGTAATTTATAAAGTAACAGGCTATTAATGAATTTTAATTTAATCATTAATTAATAACAAATTAATGTTGAAAGAGGAGAGATTTTTAAGAAGTAAACTTTTAAGTATGATTTTATTTGGGAGAGTGAAATTCTTCTCCTACTCATTAGCTAATATTTGAATACAAAAACCTCTGATTTCTCCTTTTACCCTACCCTCTAGTCTTCAAGTCATTGACATTTCTGCCATATACTCTTTTTTCCTTGGTTCTGGGACTTGAACTCAGAGACACTCAACCACTGAGCCACATCCCCAGCCCTATTTTGTATTTTATTTAGAGACAGGGTCTCACTGAGTTGCTTAGCACCTCACCATTGCTGAGGCTGGCTTTGAACTCATGATCCTCCTGTCTCAGCCTCTCGAGCTGGTGGGATTATAGGCATGTACTACACCCCCAGCCCATATACTCTTCAGTTCATCTGAAATTTTATACTCAAAGTTGTTTTACTATATGGATGTTTATAGCTTGGTTTTCAGATTACTTTATAACTAAATTGCTTCATCTATTTTCTCTTTTTCTGAATATCCCAGTTTGATTTTAATCTTACATCTTATATCCTTAGCCCCTCAAATCACATTAAGATTACTAGCTTTATTTAGTTTTTGTGTGTTTCCATTTTCTTAGTTTTTTCAGTCTTATTTATTTATAAAAGGAAGGCTTCCCTTTTTTTTAATACATTTAAAGAAATAAGTTACTTTTATTCTTACTAGCCAATATCACTATTCAATTTGCCCATATGTTTGCTGACCATTTTCATCCAAAGGGAAGGATATATGGCAAATTGCAGCCACACAACTGAAAAATTGGTTGCTTGCTATAGTAACAAGTTTAGTTAATGTTTGGTTTATTAATTAATGTGGTTAATTAATGTTTCCAAAGTAGACTACTACTGCTATCAAGCTGTTCAATCTGATTAGAAAGTACCAAGTGATCTGAAGTCCCAAATTCACTTTAATAGACATTTATTTGGAATACATGTTTTGTCAGATAAATATAATTTGTAAATATTCTGTATTTATATTATTAAACTGTTTAGTGACATCACCAAATTATTTAATTGGAGTTTACCTTTTTTTTTTTTAACCCATTTTAGAAGACATTTTGAAAACATTGAAGACAAAAGGCCTACAAGGGACCACTGTACTTACCAGACAGGCAGGCCAAGAAAACCTTTCCATCCTCAAGTTCACCAAGTCCTGATATATCAAGAGCTACCAGAAGTATGCTGAGAGATACTGTGAACTAAATGTATTTTGAAACTGAAGTCATTCCTTGGTTAAGAAATCTTATCAGAAATTTGTCATTAAAACAAAAAAAGAGGTGGAAAGATAGAGCATTCTCTTTTACCAGGGAATCAACTTTACAGAAGTATTTATACATGTGCAGTTAAGTATGTATATTTGTAATTTGCATTTTATATGTAAAGGTTATATTTAATTACATGTGAATGTATATTCATTTCAGCATTGGTTCTACTAGCAAAACAGTGGAATCAACCTAAATGTCCATCAGGAAGGTGATTGGTTAAAATAAATTACAGTATATCTATTTTACTGAACATGCAACCATGTAACATGACTCATGTCTGTATATACTAAACAGAAGATGTCCGTGCTGTCCTATTAGAATGAGAAGAGCAAGCCATAGAACAGCTTTATCCTACCTGTATATGAAGAAACTACTTCTATTTTGGATTGGTATTTGCATTTTCACAATAATAATGTTGGTTAAAATTATGATAAACCATACCCGCTTCCCAAAGGGTTGCAGCTGGCGTAGCAGATGTGGTTTTATTGCTGGAGCAAATTAACACATTACTTGGTACTTGCTACACAATATTGATCTGGAAAATGCCTTGTTCACCATACCTATGCATAAAAGCCCACCAGAGGTAGTTTGCATTCAGCCAACAGGGCCAGCTATACACCTTCACTGTCCTACCTTGGGTATTATCTACTCTCCAGCCGTATGTCATAATTTAGTTTTCAGGGATATCGATCACCTTCCCTATCCACAAGATACTATACTAATCATTGCATTGATGACATGATACTGACTGAACCAAGTGATCAAGAAATAGTAAATGCAATAGACTTACTAGTAAAATAAGGTAGGAAATCTAAATACACTTCAGGGACCTTCCACCTCAGTGAAATTAATAGGATCCAGTGGTTTGGGGCATTTTAAAACATCCCTTTTAATGTGAGAGATAAATTGTTGCATTAAATGTGCCTACAACCAATAAAGAGAGATCCACATTTAGTGGATCTTATTGTTATTTGGAGGCAACAAATGCTTATTTGGGTATGTTACTCCAGCTCATTTACTAAGTGACCAAAAAGTTATCAGCTTTGAGTTGGGACCAGAATAAGAAAAGGCTTTGTAACTTGTTCAGGCTGCATACAAGCTGCTCTGCCAATTAGGCCTTGTGATCTAGCAGATCTAGTGGTGGAATGTCATTGTCAGATAGGAATGCTGTACAATGCCTTTGGCAGGCCCCTACAGGTGAGTTCCAGTTTCAGGCCTGTAAGACTGAAACCGGTAATTTTGTAGCAAGACTGGTCATGCCATAAATAACTTGTTTTAAGAGAGAGTTCTTGGCCTGCTACTGGGAACTGAGCTGCCCACCAAACCATGGCATGTACAGCAACACTCCATCATCAAATGGAAGTGACATACCCATGATTAGACCGAGTAGATCCTGAAGGCTGAAGAAAGTTACATGAAGATGTATTCAAATGGCCCATTTTCCTCACTCCTGCCTTCTCTCTCCCTACCTGCTCCTATGGGCAACTCCCTGTGATCTGCTGACAGAGGAAATTACTAGAGCCTGGCTTACAGATGGTTCTGCAGGCACTACCCCAAATTGGTCAGCTGGAGAACTATAACCTCTCTCCACAACATCCCTGAAAAACATCTGGTGAAGGGCTATCCTTCCAGTGAAGCTTGGAGTAATGCACCGGGCTGTTGGCTTTTCTTGGAAGAGGAAATGGCCACATATACAATTATATTTCATAGCTGTGATCCTTAGAGTTTGGCTGGAGGGTCCAGAATTGGAAAGGGCCATGATTAGAAATTGGTGACAAAGATATCTGGGGAGGAGGTATGTGAATACATCTCTTAATAGGCAAAAGACATGAAAATATTTGTGTCACATGTAAATGCTCACAAAAGCAGAGGAAGACTAATGATAAAGTGAATAGAATACCCATTCTGTGGCTAGCTTTTGTCCTCTTTCCAAGGCCCTGATTTCACCCACTGTGATCGTGAACAAGTGGCTGTGATGCAGGGATTGAAGTAAAGCATGAGTTCAACAACATGGACTTCTACTCACCAAGGCTGACCTGTCTGTCCAAGACTACTAATGAGCAAAAATTCAACACTGAGCCTCCTATAAGGCACCATTCCCTGTGGTGATCAGATAGCTTTCTGGTAGTAGATTGATTACACTGATTCACTTCCATCATGAAAAGGACAGCATTTTTTCTTTACTGGAAAAAAAATGATACTCTGGATATGGATTTGCCTTCCCTGCATGCTATTCATCATTGGACACCATGGTATTCCAGATTTGTGAAAACTATGCATTCTCATCAGTAAATCTAAATTTAAAATGTCTGTTAATTTGATAAAAAAAATTGCAATAATAATAAAAGGCAACATAATAAACAGAAAAGGGTAGGATGAAGGAGGCAGAGAGAAAGGCTGGGGGAAAGAAGATGCCCATTTAGACCTTAAAGGTACTGGTACATTCCAGTTTTCATGTTGGGCAGAAGATCCTGCAGTGTTTTACTATTTAAAATACACCTGAAAAAAAATATTCTTTAACATGCCTGAATATGACCATGATTTTGAGTCTGTTAGTCTCATGCACAGAAGTTCACCTGGCAGGGGTAAGCTGAAATAGTAGAGAGGCCCTTATATGTGAACAATTACATGCAGTATTTAAAGCCTATAATATTAATCAGTGATCAACCCACCCTAGCAGAGTCCAAGTTCTGAACTAGTTGATTTTAAGAAAAGTATAGTTGCTTTCAAGTGCCTACATCACAGATTACACTCATAAGAAATAGTGAGTGTAGCTATTATGTGCTTGTCCCTTCCCAAAACTCACAATCCTGAAATTGTAGGATCTTGTGATTCTTCATATTCCCCCTTGCATCAAAATGTAAAATAGGGTAGGGCTATGGCTTAGTGATAGAGCACTTGCCTAGCACCACAAAATAAAACTAACTGTACAGTGTTTTTAAAGGAAGTCCTAGAGAGAAAAAGGAGAGGGAGAGCATGAGCAGAATTGACAATTTGGGTCAGGGGATACAGCTTAGTGGTAGAGTGCTTCCTTGGTATACATGAGTTCTATTTCCAGGACCACCAACACACACACATACACACACACAAATACTAACAGTGTTAATATTATGTTAACAGATAATATGATAGTTTTGCCAAGAAAACTACAAGAATACATACATAAAAATATGAGCAAGAATGGCAGTTTAGGAAAGTGGTTGTAACAACAATATTCAAAAATCATGTGTATTTTTATGACACCAATATAGTTGAACTGTAAACCCAAGAAAAGGTTAATTCTTTCCCAAAATAATTGTATCAAGCAAGAATAACCTTAATAATAAAACCAGATAAGGATCATGTAAGAAAAGAAAATTACAGGACAATTACATCAATATGGAAGAAAAAAGTATGTAATAATACCACTTATAATAGCACAAACAAGACATTGTGGAATAAATCTAGTATGAACAAAACTAATATGCATATAAATATTTAAAATTTGACTAAAGGGTATTTTAAGACTGAATAGACAGAGACTTATTCCATGTTAATGAGTAGGAAGACTCAGTATCATGAACACACCAATATAGTACAATTCCATCCTAAATCCCAAAAGGGCTTTTCATGGAACAAGAACAAATGGCCAAGAACATATAAGATACTCCAAAATAGTAAGTGAAAGAGCTTGAACTAGTTAAATGTCCAATATATATTATTAAACAACAACAACTGATAGTTTGGCCTAAAGATAGAGAAAAAATAATAAATAAATATGTACATATATGGAAACACATCTGAGGCAGCAGATCAAATAGAATATTCTCTAACTAGTACAGGTACAAGTAATTTTAGATACATATGTGTATATATATATATCTCTCACACACACATGTTTATATGAGTGTGTGAGAGAGAAAGAGAATGAGTCAGCTTTTTCATAACTGGACAAGATACCTGAAGAAAAAATTTTTACAGGAGGAAAGATTTATTTAGCTCATAGTTTCAAAGGTTGCAGCCCATGGTTGGCTGGGTCCATTCATTCTAAGCATGGAGAGCAGATCATCTTGCTGGTACACCTCATTGTAGCCTGGAAGCAGAGAGAATGTGAGCAAAGGGACTCAGACAAGATATACCCCTCCAGGGCACACCCCCAGTGACCCACTTCCTCTAACTAGATCCCACCTCCTACAGTTTCTATGATCCCTCAATGCCATCAAATTATATATCCCTCACTGGATTGATCCACTGATGAGGTCAAAGCCCTTATGATCCAATCACTTCCCCACATCCCCACCTCTGAACATTGCTGCTTTGGGGGCCATGCCTTTAATACATAAACCTTTGAGGGCATTCTAGATCCAACTTTTAAAAAAATACACATATTGAAAATGAAATTGGATTTCTACCTCACTTCATATACAAATGCCTACTAAAATGGATTAAGGAGTAAATAAGAAAGGCTGAATTTTAAGTTTTGTAAGAAACATAGGAAAATGTTTATGACTACATGGAAGAAAGTATTTCTCTTTTTTAAATATTTTTATAAGTTGTTCATGGACTTTTTGCAGTATTCAGAATCAAACCCAGTGCCTCATACATGCTAGACAAGCACTCTACCACAACCCCAGCCCTCCGGAAGAAAGTATTTCTATAAAACAAACAATAACAAAAAGCACAGGCCCTAATGGAAAAGATCAATAAATCCAGCTACGTTAAAATGAAACAGTTTTGTCTTCTCTGATGTGAGGATGCTAATCCATAATGGGGATGTTGGGGAGCATGGGAGGAATGGAGGAACTTTAGTTAGGGCAAAGGGGAGGGAGGGAATGGGAGGGTGTAGAGGGAGGAAAGACAGCGGAATGAGATGGACTCCATTACCCTAAGTACATGTATGAAGACAAGAATGGTGTGACTCCAATTTGTGTACAACCAGAAACATGAAAACTTGTGCTTTACATGTGTACTATGAATTGAAATGTATTCTGCTGTCATATATAACAAATTAGAATAAATAAATTTTAAAAATCAATTAGAAAAAAAGCACCATTAAAAAAGTAGAGATAATTCATAAAAGATGTTTGCACATAGATTTTAATAGCCATAATAAAGAATTCTTACAAATCAACAAATGAAAAAATAGAAATACATTATAAAAATGCTTAAATGACAATAGAGAAAAATATATAAAAGGCTAAAAAATATATGAAAATCACAACCATATAATTCATTAGGAAAATGCAAGTCAAGGCAGGCATAGTGGTAGATGCCTCTAATCCT